ATTATTATTATTATTATGTATTATTATTATTATTATTATTATTATTATTTATTATAATTATTATTTTATCATTCATTATTATTATCAACATCATCAGGTATGAGGAGGAGGTGGAGGAGGAGGAGTAAGAAGACGAAGAACAAATAGTAAGAATACGAAGAAGAAATGATAAAAACGAATAAAGAAGAAGAGAAGTAAAAATACGAAGAAGAAATGAGAAAAACGAATAAAGAAGAAGAGAAGTAAAAATACGAAGAAGAAATGAGAAAAACGAATAAAGAAGAAGAGAAGTAAAAATACGAAGAAGAAACGAGAAAAACGAATAAAGAAGAAGAGTAAAAATACGAAGAAGAAATGGAAAAAAAATAATAAAGAAGAAGAGAAATGAAAATACAAAGAAGAAATGTGAAAAACGAATAAAGAAGAAAAGTAAAAATACGAAGAAAAAAAAAAGAAAAAAAAAGATAAGTAAAAATACGAAGATGAAATGAAAAAAAAAGAATAAAGAAAAAGAGAAATAAAAATACGAAGAAGAAATTAGAAAAACGAATAAAGAAGAAGAGGAGTAAGAAAGAAGAAGCTAAATCACTCCCGCGGTCGTCATGGCAACACGACCTTTGACCTTGACACCTCAACCTCACCTTAACATTGACCCTAAAGGAGGCCACGGAACAGACAGACAAATTAAATGACCAAATAACGGGAGAGAAGAGAAGTGAAAGAAGGGGGAAGAGGAAGAAAAGAAGAAGAATACAAATACAAAAAAGAGAGAGAAATGGGAGAGAAGAGAAGTGAAGGAAGGGGAAAAGGAAAAGAAAAAAAATAAATAAATAAAAAAAGAGAGAAGGGGCGGCGGGAGAAAGAAAGAAGATACAAATACAAAAAGAGAGAGAAATGGAGAGAGAGAAGTGAAGAAGGGAAAAAAAAAAAAAAAAATAAAAATAAAAAAAAAAAAACGGGGAACAGGCAAACAAACAAGTAAATACAAAAAAAGAGAGAGAGAAATGGGAGAGAAGAGAAGTGAAAGAAGGGAAAAAGGGGAAGAAAAGAATATATTTTTTTAAAAATAAAAAAGAGAGAAAAAGAAATTAAAAAAAAAAAACAAATAAAAATGGGAGAGAAGAAGTGAAAGGAGGAAGGAAAAGGGAAAAAAGAAGACAAATTATATAAAGAACAACATGGAAACAGTAGAGAAGTAAAACAGAAAAAAACAGAAAACAGATTTAAAAAACGGAAGAAAAGAGAAGAAAAAAGAAAAGTAAAGAAAAAAACGAAAGAAAAGAGAAGAAAAAAGAAAAAAAAAGAAAAGTAAAAAGTATATTCAAAATAATTTTCAATTTACAGATAATTCACAGAAGAAAAATGGAAAAAAAAAATTATATGTGATCTGATGAGTTTGCAAATTGGTCGACAACAGCGTGTAAACATTAAAGCTCATTTTGCCTTTAAATGCGTTCAGTCTCTGGCTCTTATGCGATATAATTGGCTGGTGAGATATGTGTTTGTTCATCTCTACCTCTCTCTCTCTCTTTATCTATCTCTCAATCCGTATTTTTTTATCTGTGTATTTATATTCATATCCTGCTGTCTATTTATTTTCTCTTTATCTCTCTGTCATTTCGTATTTTTATCTATATGTTAATCCGCATTTTTTATCTATCTGCATATCTATATTTATATTCTATGATCTATGTATCTGTTTCTCCTCCTATCTATCTATCTATGTTTCTATATGTTTCTATATATCTCCATCTGACTGTCTCCCTATCTATTTACCTATATATCTCTTTCTATATATCTATCAAAATATTCACTTATTTATCTATCTACATGCATCTATCCATCTTTCTATACACGAGTATCTATCTATTTATCTATCTATCTATCTATCCAAATGTCTTTTTCTCTACCCGTCTGTATGTCTCTATTTAATTATCTACCCATCTTTCTACCTATCTATCAGTCCATCGATCTATCTACATCCCTCCATCTTTCTATATATAAGCATCTATCTATTTGTCTATCCATATGTCATTTTCTCTGTCTGTTTAATTATTCTACCCATCTTTATATCTATCTGTCAATCATAATCTATCTATCTGTATCTTTCCATCATTATTTCTATATGCGAGCATTTATCTATCTATCTATCTCTATATCTATTCATGTGTTATTTTCTCTACCTATATATATATATATATATATATATATATATATATATATATATATATATATTTAATTATCTATCTACCAATCTTTCTGCCTATCTGTCGAACAGAATGCCTACCTATCTATCTCTCTATCTACATCCATCCATCCCTCTATCCATATACGAGCTATCTATCTATCTACCATTTCTTCTTAATGGGATCTTTTTCTACATCCATCCATCCATCTTTCCATATACGAGCTATTTATCTATCTATCTATCTATTTATCTATATATCTATCTATCTGCCATTTCACCTTAATGGGATCTCTTTATCTACATCCATCCATCCATCTATCCGTATACGAGATATTTATCTATCTATCTATCTATTTATCTATCTGTCTATCTATCTATCTATCTATCTATCTATTTATTATATCTGTCTATCTATCTATCTATCTATGTATCTATGTATCTATCTATTATTTCTCCTTAATAGGATCTCTTTATCTACATCCATCCATCCATCTATCCGTATACGAGCTTTTATCTATCTATCTATCTATCTATCTATCTATCTATTATTTCTCCTTAATAGGATCTCTTTATCTACATCCATCCATCCAGCTATCCATATACGAGCTATCTATCTATCTATCTATCTATTTATCTATCTATCTATCTATCTATCTACCATTTCACCTTAATAGGATCTCTCTATCATCATCCATCCATCCATCTATCCATATACGAGCTATTTATCTATCTATCTATCTAATTTATCTATCTATCTATCTAATTTATCTATCTATCTATCTATCTACCATTTCACCTTAATAGGATCTCTTTATCTACATCCAGCTATCCATATACGAGCTATTTATCTATCTATCTATCAATCTATTTATCTATTTATCTATCTGTCATTTTTCCTTGATGGGCTGACGACAGTGCCAAGGAAAGTGACGTCATACACGATTCTTATCTTGGACGAAGGAGCCATCGTAAGATTTGTCTCAGAAGCCGTGAAATTGTGACGTTGAGAGGCCTACATTACGTGGGAGAGAGAGAGAAAAAAAACGGAAAAAACGAGAGAGAAAACGAAAAAAATGAGAGAAATTGAAAAAAACGAGAGAAAATAGAAAAATGAAAAAAAGGAAGAAAACAAGAAAACGAAAAAACGAGAGAAAATACACTAAAAAGAGAGAAAATAAAACAGAAAAAAACACAGAATACAAGAAAAACAAGAAGAAAATGAAAAAGGAGAGAAACCAAAAAAAACGAGAGAATACACAAAAAAAACGAGAATAGAACAGAAAAAACGCAAATTACGAAGAAAAAAAGGAAAATCACGAGAAAAAAAAGAGAGAAAAAGTAAAAAAACATAAAAAAATATTAATAATAAACGAAAAAGCGAGCGAGAGAGAAAAAAACTTGCACGGCGGGTTGGTGTCCTTTCGTAATACGTATATTCTCATGAGATCGCCGCCTTGGCTTTGAATGAGTGTGGTGTGTTGTGTTGTGTGTGTGGGGGGGTGGGGTGGCGGTATGGGGGGTATTACGAGGTGTGCGATGAGTGGTGTTTGTTTGTTTTGTTTGTAGGTATTTTTTGTTTTGTTTTTTGTTTGTTTGTGTGCGCATGCATGTTTGTTTTTGTTTGTTTGTATAGGTATATGTTTTTGTTTGTTTGTGTACTATATATGTATTTCTTTTTTATTGTTTGTTTGTGTGAGTGTGTGTTTGTGTTTGTTTGTTATTGTGTGTATGTTGTATGTGTGTTGTTTGTGTGAGGTGGAGTGGGGTATAGGGATTAGGATATGAATGTGTGTTGTTTGTTTGTTTTTTGCGTTTATGTATAGTGAAGCATTATGAGGTGTTTATGTATTTACGTCTGTTTATGTGAGAGTGTTGAAGTGGTGAAGACTGGTGTGTGGGGGGGGGGGGTGCGCTTGTATTTGTACATTTGCGCGTGTTTTGTGTGTCTGTGTGAGGTGGATTGTGTTTGCGTGAGTGGTTGTGTATCTGTCTGTCTGTTTGTCTGTTTAGAAACGTGTCTGTTCGTGCCTGCATTGACTTTGAGAATAAATGAATGAAAAATATCTGCGTTGTGAGGGAGAGAGAGAGAGAGAGAGAGAGAGAGAGAAAGAGAAAGAGAAAGAGAGACAGACAGACACACACACACAGAAACAACAAAAGGGAACCAGGAAAATTCTAGCGACCCCCTTCCCCCCCTTTCAATCCCCTCTAAGAAAATTGGGGTCATGCTGATCCTAGCCCTCCCCCCCTCCCCCTCCCTTACCCTTACCCCTATACCCCTTACCCCTTCACCCTATCCTCCCCTTCACCTTCCCCCCTCCCCCTCCCCCTCCCACCCCATCGTCATACAGGTGTGAGCCCAAAAACTCACGAGAATAATGGAAGATGCCAAAGAGATGCCCAGAATCACGCCGGCTCGAGTGCCAGTGCCCCGGGTATAGGCAGCGCCAAGGAAAAATCTCTTGCATCACTGCCTTCCCGACGTCACACGTGTTAGGGGGGGGTATGGGGGGTTGGAGGGGGGCAGGAGAGGCAGACCGGGACGAGGAGTAGAAATGATACTTTTTTTTTCTTCTATCTATTCTGCACCGGTTTTGTCTCCTTTTACATATATATATGATTAGGCTCGTGGTTCCCGCCTCCCTGTGCAATATGCGAGCGTGAAACACATCCTCATGTTAATATGAACCCGCATGAAAATCATATTAATGAGGGGCTTCGCTTAGGCTCCACCCACCTCGCGTGACGTCACCACGCGTGGCTCCTCCCACCAGCCAAGACTAAGCTATTTATACGGCGAGCCAAGCGGGTAGCACTTTAGTTCTTACTAGACAACCACCCAGTCAGAACCAAGTCATTGAGGACTCTTGAAGTGTCATCAAGGTTTGGTTTCGAAAGACTAAACGATCTCGAGGTTTTGATCTGGAAGTGAACTTTTGCAAGGGAAGAAAGTGCTATAGCAACACATTTTTCTTCGGTTCGTTAAAGACTAGAAGCCTGACGAGATGGTCATCATTTCAATAGGGGTAAGATCTTTATTTGTTTATTTTTAATATTTAGTTTATTATTTTTTATGATTTGTTTCAGTTTTATCAATTTTTTTATTTTACCAGTTTTATCAGTTTTTTATGACTTTATCAGTCTTATCAGTTTTTATCAGTTTATCATTTTTTATTTTTCTTAATATTTAGTTTCTTATTTCTTTATGATTTTATCAGTATTATCAGTTTTTATTTTTTTTAATATTTAGTTTCTTATTTCTTTATGATTTTATCAGTTTTATCCAGACGTGTTTTATCCCAGTGTTACCGATCGACAAAAATCGATAAAAAAGAAAGAATCTATTTCATTTGTGAATTCATACAGTGCGAAGATAAAAAATAAATATATATAAAATTAGAGGCACGAAGAAGAAAAGAAAAAGAAGAAGAGAAAGAAGAAGAAAAAGAAAAAGAAAAAGAAAGAAGAAGAAGAAGAAGAGAAGAAGAAAGAAGAAGAAGGAGAAAAAGAAAAGGAAGAGGAGAAAAAGAAGGAGAATAAAGAGAGGAAGAAGAAATAATCGGTCTATGCTGCGGTTTCCACATTGGCTGTCAGGAGATCCGAGCACCGGGCGGGAACGTGCAGCCAGGAGGGTTACGTCAGCATCTGTCTGTCTCGCTCTTTCTCTCTTTTCCTGTCTGTTCGTCTGTCTGTCTGTCTGCCTGTCTCTTTCTCTCTTTCTCTATCTATTTCTCTCTCTCTCTGTCTGTCTGTCTCTTCTCTCTTTCTCTCTCTCTTTCTCTCTCTCTCTCTCTCTCTTCTCTCTCTCTCTCTCTCTCTCTCTCTCTCTCTCTCTCTCTCTCTCTCTTCTCTCTCTTCTCTCTCTCTCTCTCTCTCTCTTGCTTTCTCTTTACCTGTAATTCTGTCTCCTGTCTTTTCTAGCCCTTTTCCCTTTTCCTCTTTCGTATAATCTCTCTCTCTCTCTCTCTCTCTCTCTCTCTCCTCTCTCTCTCTCTCTCTCTCTCTCTCTCTCTCTCTCTCTCTCTCTCTCTCTCTCTCTCTCTCTCTTGAATCGATTCGGTCGGATTTTGAAAAAAAAAATAAGAATAAAACACAATAATAAAAAATAAACGAGCGAATTTTCAGTGGTTCAATTTCGGGAAAAGAGAACACAGGTTCATACCAGTTCTTCCTACCCCACCCCCCACCCCCCGCCACCCCCCCAACCCCCCCCCCCTCACTCCCCCCACCCACACCTCTGCTATCCACATCTCTCTCCCTCCCACACACCACACCTGTGAACACCTTACACCTGTTCACGTCAGTCCCACTCCCCTTGCCCTCTTGCCCTCCCCCCCACCCCACCCCCTCACCTGTTCATCGCTGTACACCTGTGTGTTATCCACATACCGACAAGGACGAAGTTTTGCGCCAACATATGCTGAGGTCACGATTTCAGGACTTCAGTAGCAATATATGCTGGTTACTTGGCTTCGGGATTTCAGTGCCAACATATGCTGAAGTTCGGACTTATGGGTCCAGTTGGTGGAAGCCTCAAGGGCGGGTCTGCTGGACATCAACATACTGCGGGCTTCAGTGCCAACATATACTGAAGTCTTAATTTCAGGACTTCAGTTCAATGAACACTTGCTGAAAGACTGTTCAAGACTCTCTCAATCGTCCACTTGGAGAATTGGATTCGATTGAGGCAATCAGATCAACTTCCTTTGTTGATTAGACACGTGGCGAAGCTGTATGACTGAGAAGATTAAGAACAGAGAGAGAGAGAGAGAGAGAGAGATAGAGAGGGGAGTGAAGAGAAGAGAGAGAGAGAGAGATAGGTGTGGGAGAGGGGAGGAGGAAGAGAGAGAGAGAGATAGGTGTGGAGAGGGAGGAAAGAGAGAGAGAGAGAGAGGGGGGAGGAGAGAGAGAGAGAGAGAGATACTGAGAGGAGGGGGGAGGGAGGAAGAGAGAGAGAGAGGGGGGGGGGGCGCTGCTATCAACGTCTGCACACAGATAACTGAAGACGGAATTAGGGCACATAAAGATAAACGGAGAAAGAAGAGGAGAGAAAGAGTGAAATAAAAAAAGAATCGATAGGAGAACTAAAAGAGAAAACATCTAAAAACAAGAAAGAAAAACGTAGAAAGAGATGATGAGAAAAAAACAAGATAAACAAGAAGTAAAAACGAAAAAAAAAAAAACATCTAAGGAAATTGTGGCTTCAAATGAAATAGGATTTTGACTCTTATGAAAATGATACGAATAGTTTCACTCAATTTCTTTCTGCACAAAACTTCTCATAAGGAGTTTGAAGTTTGGGAATTTAGGAAGTTACGGCCAGAAAGAATTTATGCAAATTAATACTTCGTGCGGGAGTTTAAGTAATTTATTCTGCTTCGTCGCGCAAGCTTATCAAATTTTATTTCCCTTAGGACAGGATTTTTTTAAGGTTATGCCGAGCTGGCTCTTATTAAATGCCGAAATTCAAGTGAGATTTTCATTCTTCTTTGTTCTTTGTTTCTTCAGTGTTCTTCAATATCAAAAAAATCCATCATAGGAACTGTTGTAATCTTCCTACTCTATCGTCACTATCAATCAGAATCACTATCATTATAATCACTATCAACGACGTTCTTCCTTTCCATCTTCTCGACTAAAGAAAAGAAAAACAAAAGAAAATTCACAAACGAAACGCTACCTTAGTTTTGACTTCGGAAACCGTATAGATCAGCTGTTTATCGTCGAGAAAACCGTCCAGTCAGCTGATCAACGGAGTGCGATGCGGACTTCGACATGTCTTCATCACCTGAACTTCAGAGCAAGAGAGATGCTGTGGTGGCCCAGTCCTCATTCAGCACGTGACCAGGCCCTTTGTTAGAGAGTGCCTAAGAACACCTTCCTTTGGCACTGTGTTTCGGTATACTGCGAGACCCCTTAAGCAAGATAGCCTGGAAAACGCGGATTTGGTTTAGTTATTGCTTTTATTAGCTGGATATCCCATTTTCTTATTTTGTAACAGAAAACGGAAATCATGAAATTCATTCGATTTTATTTCTAAAATAGATATCACACGTCAGACATCTTTAAAGTAATCAGATTTTCTTACTATTCTCCTCTCATTGAGAAAAAAATAGGACGTATGAATGACTAAGGTATGAATATTTCGTTACAAAGAGATACAGTAAAATAGGAAAAAAAACGAATAATGTAATTATATACTTTAAACAAGGCACACGACCAACTAGTTGAAGACCGCGAGATCTTCCTGACTAAGCATTATCTTCCTCTTCTCTTCTCTTTTCTTTTCTCTTCTCTCTTCTTTCTCTTTCTTTTCTTTTTCTTTTTTCTTTTTCTTCTTTCTTTTTCTTCTCTCTCTCCACCTTTTTTCTTTTTCTTCTCCTCCCACCTTCTCTTCTTCTCCCTCTCTCTCCCTCTCTCATCTCTCCCTCACCTCTCTCCTCTCCCTCTCCCTCTCTTCTTCCGCTTCTCCCTCTTCCCTTCTCTCCTCTCTCTCTTTTCTTCTATTCTCTCTCTTCTTCTTCAACGTGTCTCTTGTATCCTGCATTCACTAGCAGATTCTTCTGGCAATCTGGCAACATCTGGAGCCCCCCTTAAGCTGCTGACAAAGTGCCAAACAGTCTGCATTTTCTCCCATTGCAGAAATCATGTGCTGCCCAGTTACTTATGCGAGATTATTTTAGTCTGATAGATCACATGATGATTCGCGGTTATCACATGCTGTCATGGTTGTTATGGCTGCCATTGCTATGTCGTTGTTATTTTGGGGGTATTTCTTTTTTTATTATTATTATTCTAGGTTGAGGTGGTAGAGTTTTAAAACGGAAAAGTATCGGAAGGTATTAAGTAAAGTAACGATTTGTTCGATTGATAAAAACCGCAAAATTTACGAAATAAAATAAATGAACAAACGAAAAATCGGTGAACGTAAGTCGATGATAGCGCGCGCGCACACACACACACACACACACACACACACACACACACACACACACACACACACACACACACACACACACACACACACACACACACACACATTATATACAATATATATGTATAATATACACACTGTTAGCAAATCGCTAAAATAGGTGTACTTCGCATCTGAACGGAATTACAATACCTCCGCGAAAATCAATATATTCCCACCTTGGCAACTCCACCTGTATTGCCACATGAACAGTTTCCGATAATTAGCGACATTAGACCAGATCAGGGAATGAATACACATGTCTATTGAATACATTAACACAACGGATACTTCATTTGCATCGTGGAGAAGCATATGTCAAGATGGTCGAGATAGCCATCCGGTTTAGCATAGGCCTACATCGAGGATTTATAAAATTAACAGATAAAATGGCCCCGCGGACTCACAGTTAAGCCAAGGACGCCAACATTTTTCCATGAGGGATCTCGCCTTCCTTGGCAGAGACTTCTGACCCTCCTTGGGTATCCTAGCTTAGTCTAGTTCGTGCAGGATATGCGAGAGAAAAAAAAAGGAGAAAGAAAAAGTAATAGACATTATCTTTTCTTTCGCTCTATTCCATTGCAAGGAGGAGAAATGTATTTTGTTTTGTTTTGTTTTTTTGTCCTATAATTTTCATTTCCATCTCATATTTCTTCCCCTTTCTTTCGTGGTAGAAATTATACAATTATGTAAATAAAAATGGAAATATTGGATGATATAAGGCATACGCAATACTTTTTGTTTTGGTTTGTGAACATAACAGGTTGGTCACCTCTCTAACGTATTATAATCCTTTGCTGTTAGGCTTTGAGGGTCGTCTGGTTACAAGAAACCTGTATTTCAACCTTTTTTTAAACAAATGCTAATAATAGACAACAGGTATACTAAACTACACCTAACCTTATCTCCGTAACGAAACCCTTATAATTCACATCACTTACACCCAATCAAGAGGAAAAGATTATCACTTTGGTTAAATCGTCCAAAAACGAGCTTCAGGCCGAGTGGGCGGAGTCGAGCAGGGTAGTTCCCGTTGGACTCGACCTCGTGCGCCAAAAACTCGAAGAAGCAGACGCGACAGTTCTCGTGTTGTAGGATACGCGTGCTGAGATCTGGTTTCGGGTAGATGGGCGTCTGGGCGGGTAGATGTGAAGGCTATTATTTGTGTCTGTGTGTAAGTGGGTGGGATTTCAGTACTGTTGTTATTGTTACTGTTGTTAGCATTCTCGTTATTGTTAATATCATTGTTTGAATCGTTATTATTATTATTATTATAGTTATTGTTATCATTCTCATTATTCTATTATCGTTGTTATCATTATCGTTGTTTGAATCATCACTATTATCATTACAGGTTATTATATTCTAATTGCCAATTATTAATATATTCACGTCATTTTTTCCCCTTCTGATCCAAATTCATGTTTTTTTTTTTTTTTTTTTTTTTTTACTTTTAATCGATCATGATAAATATTCACCCAACCTATCCAACCCATTTCATACCCCAAAACCCCCCAATATATCTCCATGAGTCTACATCACCCTTCTGCCACACCACAGCAGTGCCTTAACCAACCTTTTCCTTCTCGTTGCAGGGGCTAAACGCCCGGCTTGCCTTCGCCATCGCTGCCGCCGCCTTCGGGTCCGCCTTCCAGCATGGCTACAACCTCGGCGTCATGAATGCGCCGCTCGGGGTGAGTTTACTGGGTGTTTTTTTAGGGCGTCGCGGTATTAAGATTTTTGTCATTTATTTGAACGTTATGTTATATGATGGTGTATGTATATTTATATATATTATTATATATATATATATATATATATATATATAACATATATATATATATATACATATTAGTTATATATCATTCCTATATAATATTATATATATATATATATATATATATATATATATATATATATATATATATATATATTTATATATAATATTAGATATAGATATGTATAATATATATTAGATATATATAATGTACATATGTATATTTATATATATATATTGATTTGTAAATATATACATATAAATGGATACATACACATACATATACTTGTGTGTGTGTGGTGTGTGTAACACACATATACATATATGTATATACATATACATATATATGTATATATATGTATATATATATATAATATATATATACAGTGTGTGTGTATGTGTATATGTGTGTGTATGTGTGTGTGTATACATACATATACACATATATGTATATATCTATGTATTGTTTAGTGATATTTTCATTTTCTATTTACGATCCCTTGCTAGTAAAAAAAAACATATCTTGGCACCCTTTCTGCTCTCGCGGTTCAGGTTCTTAGACAACATTCTATTCCATACGGGAAGAGCTCTCATTACGCCTTCACCCACTGAACGTCATTCCGTTTTAGCGACATGAATAGTACAGTAACTCACTGAACGACCGGAAGGTAATGACGTCATCGGTTCTTAGGCCTAACCTACGCGTTGCACCCTTCATACCCCTACGTTCGCTGGCAGGGTGGTTCTTGAACCGGTTTCTGGTCTTTAAGGTATTATGCCTAACCCTCGCTTCTGGTGTACGGCTGTTTCTTATTCTTTCGTTATTCTTTCTGTTTTTTTTTTCTTTTTCTTTTCGTTTTTTTCGTGCTCTTTTTTTTCCTCTTATTAGTTTTTTTTCTCTTTCTCTTTTTCTTTCTTTCTTTTCTCTCTCTCTCTCTCTCTCTCTTCTCTCTCTCTCTCTCTCTCTCTCTCTCTCTCTCTCTCTCTCTCTCTCTCTCTCTCTCTTCTCTCTTCTCTCTCTCTCTCTCTCTCGTTGCCTCCCATTTTTCACAAATGATTGGAATGTCTCGTGTCGAGTATCTAAAAAAAAAAAAAATTCTCTCATTCTGCTTATATAAGATTGCTACGGTATTTTTATCACAAAGAAGACTTAAACATAAACTTCTCAATAACAAAGACCAAAGATAATAATAATTTTTAAAAACATGAAAAATCAAACCATTAAACGAACTCTCATTGCAAAAAAAAAGAGTTAAAAAAAAAGAGTGAATTTCCACCCTCACTGGCACACGACTTGTACTGTTAAAAATGGACCGAGTTTGAGGTAGGGTTGCCAAGGTGTTGCCACGTGACAGGCTACCCACGTTCGACTCTCTGTTCCTCTCTTTTTTTCGTTCTTTTTTTTCTCCTATCCCATTTTTTCTCTTTTCTATCTCTTTTTGTTTTTGTTTTTCCCTCTGTCTTTTTCTTTCTTTGGATTCTGTCATTTTATGCTCTCTCATTCTCTCTCTTTATCTATCTTCTCTCTATCTATCTATCTTTTCTTTGTCTCTCTCCCCTCTCTCTATTCTATTATCTATCTATCCATCCTTTTCTTTGTCTCTCCCCCTCGTCTCTCTCTCTCTCTCTTCTCTCTCTCTCTCTCTCTCTCTCTCTCTCTCTCTCTCTCTCTCTCTCTCTCTCTCAGACTGACAGCTCACGAGATCATGCACGCGAAGGTTCTAGAGTGACACAGCGGGAGGTTAAGAATGTTGACCTTAGTTTGACACATTTGCTTTTTTTATTATTGTATCTGTTTTAGTCTGTCTGTCTGTCTCGCCTTGTGTAGGGTTCATTACGTATATCAGAGATCGTTTTGGTTTAATATCAGTCTAAGTTTTTTTTTAATTCGGTCTCAAAAATCCTATATTCTCATAAATGCGAAATTATTTAAGCACGTCATCCCCAAAACCTCTAATTCCTTCCATACAAGAAAAAATATCACTAGCATTTTAATAGTCTCGTTGTCCTCACCGAGAGTACGTGGCGTGAGGCTCGAATCGGGAGCAACTAACTCGGGTGTTTTAGAAACCTTGGCAACCGCACTACGCTGAATATACACTTTTCTAACCGATGTTGCGGCCTCATCTCTATAGGTTAATAAAACCTTGGGATACATGCCGTTAATAGAACGTTGGGATACGTGCCTAAAAAAATAAAATTCCTTTGTTTTCTTTTGGATTGGTGTGGATATGTTTTGCATAGTCAGAAATAGGGGATTGGATCGTATATAAAGGGTTTTTAAGACCATTGGCTTATAGAGTGTGGAGTCAGGAAGGTCATGAGGAGCATGTGTCAGTCATGGCAATTTCTACTGAGTTTACGTAAGGATATTGCCAAACGCCGATTAATAAACCGTTTCTCGTTGTTCTTGAGGACGAACCGATAAGATCCAGTCGTTGCCAGCTGTGCTTCGAAGCTGCTTACATCTCGCAAGAGTGATAAAGTGCAAAGGGTTGTCTCAATCACAGGAAATAGTATCAGATATCCCCCGCCGACGCCAGTTGCTTGGTTTCGGACGCCGCGTTTCCTCTCGACCAATCAGAGCCATCCGTCTAGGGGGCACGACTTGCCGGCTTGGACGAGACACCCTCTCCGAATCTTGACACTCCGGCTTCAGTTGACTTTGTATAGCACATGGGGGGGGGGGGAGTCCACATTTCGAGGTCTTCGCTGTAAATAGGTAGTCTGCTTGTTTCAGTCCGCGCGCAAAGTATGAATGCATAGATATTAATAGGTGGGGCAGTCAGGAGGAAGGGAAAATCGAGAGGTAACCTTGACTGCTAAAACAGGGGCAATAAAAATGCCATAATTATTACTCACTCCTTTAGATACGTTATATTAGAGTCATTCTTATGTGCAAGTACACTGAAGTAAAGGTACTAAGACTACATTCTCTCTCTCTCTCTCTCTCTCTCTCTCTCTCTCTCTCTCTCTCTCTCTCTCTCTCTCTCTCTCTCTCTCTCTCCTCTCTCTCTCTCCTCTCTCTCTCTCTCTCCCTCTTCTCTCTCTCCTCTCTCCCTCTCTCTCTCTCCCTTCTCCCTCTCTCCCTCTCTCCTTTTCCTTTCTTTCTTGTCTCCTCCACATCCTCGACCTTATATGGCTTCAATGGCAGTTCACCTACTGGTCTAGAAATCTTGGGATGAGGGTGTTTCTTCTAAAACTTGTCTTCTTTAATTCTTTTCCTTCTTTTCCTTCCATTAATCATTATTTTCATTTTATTATATTATTTTTATTACTACTACTTACTCTACTACTTCTCCTTCTACTACTACTACTACTACTACTTACTACTACTACTACTACTACTACTACTACTACTACTACTACTACTACTACTACTACTACTACTACTCTACTACTATACTACTACTACTACTACACTACACTTACTACTACTACTACTACTACTATTACTACTACTTTTCCTGCTTCTACTACTACTACTATCCATTTCTCTTGCCTTCAAATGCCTAATGCCCCGTGTAAACTGATGCCTACGTCTTTCCCGCCAAACCGGTCATGGCGGCGAACCAGCAGTCTAACCTTACCGTATCAGCTGAGGAATGAAAACCAATTTAGCTTTCCGTTTTTTCCCCTAAAACAATGAATCATCGGATTTATTTGTGGTTAGATAAGTATATGTGGGATTGGCGAGGTGTGTTTATTTATGATTAGATAGATGTATAGGATTGGTGAGGAGTGTTGTCTCATATAGGTGTTGTATTGCAAGGAAATATTCAAAATAGATCATTAGATAGTATAGTTCTTATTTCCGTTTCTCTTATGCAAATAGACAGTATGTTGGGTATTTAGATCTTGCTCAAAGAAATAAATATTTTATCGTTTTATATTAACGATCCCTTTTTCACCCAGAGAAGTACGGTGCCTTTCCCTCTTTCCATTCATTCACATTATTTCATATTAATCGCCCCTAAGTCACTGAAAGGAATTTTTCTCTTTATTCCTTCACATTTATTGTATGATAATCTCTCCCTTTTCATTATCTTTTTACATATCAATAACCACTCTATTCCTTCACAGTATTTTACATTCCTGACCCCTTGTTTCACCTCAGAGGAGTAAAATTCCCTTTTTTTCTCTCCAATCCCTCAGCTAATCGAAGACTGGCTGAATGAAACGAGCTCCACCGATAGTGGGCTGAACGACACCATGTCCAACAACACGCGGACGTACATGGATAAAAGCGAAACGACTATGATTGTCTCCATTATTGTGTCCATCTACTGTGTGGGTGGCATGATCGGAGGCTCGCTCACGGGTTTCTTCGCAAATAGGTGAGAATTTGGGCGTCTTTTTTTAGATGTTGCTTTTTGTATTTGGTTTATTTGATTTTGGGAGATTTAATCTGCTGGGAGTATTTAGGGTTGAGTTAACAGCTATCGATCTCTACGCCAGGTTCGGCCGCAAAGGAGGCCTACTTGTGAACAACATCTTCGCCATCATCGCTGCGATTTTCTTCGGCTTCTGCAAACTGGCCAACTCTTACGTTATGATCATTATCGCCCGCTTCTTCATCGGCGTCAATAACGGTCTTAACGCCGGTCTGGCTCCAATGTACCTGTCGGAAATTGCGCCTGTGAACCTCCGAGGCGCCATTGGAACCGTCTACCAGCTCGTCGTCACCATCTCCATCCTGGTGAGTTGGAGTTTCATAGAAAACGGGATTGTGGTTTGGGATTTGTTTGGGGGGACTTGTCTATTTGGGAGAAAACTTGATACCGTGTACTTTTATGAGGAATACTTCACTTAGGTCATTGACCCATTACAATAATACTGTGAAATATTTGAAATACATATATTATATTCTTTTATATGACTGAAAACGGCGTAAAATATCCAAAATAACCACATTTTTCCCCCGTCTTGTTCTCCACAGTTCTCACAGATCCTGGGTCTGGAGTCTATCCTCGGCACGGTAGATTTGTGGCCTATCCTCCTCGCCCTGACCGCCCTGCCTGCCGTCTTCCAGCTGGTCACTCTGCCCATCTGCCCCGAATCTCCCAAATACCTTCTGATTAACAAGGACGAGGCCATTTCCGCCCAGCGTGGTGAGTTTTTGGTGTGGTTTCTGTACTTTTAAATCTCGTTTTGTTGACTGACAATTAATTTTATGTTTTTTTTTTCTTCATTATCTTTCTTTTTCTTTACTCTTATCCTCTGAATAAAAATATCTCATCATTTATTCTCTCTCTCTCTCTCTCTCTCTCTCTCTCTCTCTCTCTCTCTCTCTCTCTCTCTCTCTCTCTCTCTCTCTCTCTCTCTCTCTCTCTCTCTCTCTTTCACGCAAGCCAAACTCACCACTCATTCTCTCTCTCTCTCCCTTTCTGCAGCACTCACTTGGCTCCGCGACACAAGCAACGTGCAAGAGGAAATGGGCGAGATGAGGAACGAGGCAGAGGCGGCCAAGCTGGTGCCCCACGTGTCCCTGCGCGAAATCACGACCAACCCGACTCTGCGCATCCCTCTGGTGATCTCCATGATGATGATGATCGCCCAGCACTCTCGGGTATCAACGCTGTAAGTATCGGGCGGTGAAGGGGGTCGGGGAGGGGTATTGGGGGGTATGGTGTAGGGGGGTGTGGGTGGGGTGGGGAGTCTTGGGTCTCGGGAGGGAGTGGTTTGGGGGAGAGTGTGGGGTGTGTAGGGTTGGTGAGGTGTTGTTAGTTCACACTGTTGTTTGTTTTCTGATCACACGATTTTTTTTATAGGATGTCCAAGGTTACCGTTTTCAATAGCTTAGAAAAAAAAGTAAAAATATGTAAAACAAATCCTTGAAAAAATATCATAGACTTAGACAATTTCTGTGTTTGCAAGACCTTCTCCTAACCTGCCCGGTGTCTTCCAGGTCATCTTCTTCTCCACCAAAATCTACCTGGCAGCCGGCCTGAGCGACGAGGCCGCCCTGAACGCCACCATCGCCATGGGAACCATGAACGTGCTCATGACCATCTGCTCCCTCGTCATGGTGGAGAAGTTCGGCCGCAAGACCCTCATGCTGGCCGGCCTCTTCGGCATGCTGGTGGACGTCCTCCTCCTGTTCATCTGCCTCCTGCTCAAGGACTACGCTTCCTGGATCAGCTTCCTGTCCATCTTCCTCGTCATCTTCTTCGTGGTGATGTTCGCCGTCGGGCCCGGATCCATCCCCTGGTTCCTCGTGACGGAGCTCTTCGCCCAGAACGCCCGGCCGGTCGCCTCCTCCATCGCCGTGGCCGTCAACTGGACCGCCGCCTTCATCGTCGGCCTCGGGTTCCTCCCCATCCAGGAGGTGAGTTCGGCGGGACCTGGGCGAGCTCCCTGCGAAATCTGGGGGACGCTTTTCCTGTCCCTCGTCAAGGAGGAGGACTTATTCTTTAGGGCTTTGGGAAAAAGAATTGGCAGAATTTCAGGTCATGATATAATAGTACTTTTTATACCTATTGGAACGCAATTCCCAGACAGATAGGCCTATATTTTCACGCTGTTTCATATCCCGTTTTTTTCTCTCTCTCTTCAGGTTATCGGCCCCTACGTGTTCCTGATCTTCGTCATCCTTCTCTCCCTGTTCATCCTGTTCACGTGGAAGAAGGTTCCGGAAACGAAGGGCCGCTCCATCGACGAAATCACGGCCATGTTCAAGCAGTCGGCCTACGGAGGCAACAGCGTGTGAGGAGAACGGCCAGCTTCCGTCGTTCTTCCCGGAGCGAACGGAGAAGTGAAAACCGTTCAAGGTGTGACGCTTTTTTAAGGAGAGATGAGAGGAGAAAAAAAAGGAAGAGGAGTATGTGTACATAGTCGTGCCGTCAGTGGAATGTAGTCGCGAGTTTTGTCGTACTTGTGATCGACATTCTTCTTTGGGATATTCTTCGTCATTCGTTAATTTTTTGGGGACACGAGCCGGCTTGTCCTGGGCTCGAAGGCCGGGCATTCAGAGGTCACTAGAACTCTCAGAGGACCTTCCCGTCGCCGAAGGACTGAGAGGCCTTCGTGCGGACGGGGAAGAACCGCTCCTCTCAGTTCCGCGTAGCTTCGATCAGAACACCAGAGTTTCTCCGTTTAATTTCTAGAGCGTTAGGTGTTGTTGA